CAAAAATATATTACTTAGACATTACATTGTTTTTTGCAATGCTACTTAAACACCTCAGTTCACCCCACAAAAAATACCTACACATCCCATGCCATCCAACAAGCATATTTCACATGCAAAGCATACCTCACTCAAATAAAACAAAAAAAACATTAAGTGGCACCATTCCCAAACACAAAAATCCAAACAATATTTTTTACAAAAGGGCAAATGAAAAACAGAAAGACAATTAATAAAACCAGTGCTTTAAGTCAAAAAAACATAGTTAATTCTAAGAATTTCTTTCCAATTAGCTAAAGACATAAGTTGTGGATAGGTTGTAGGTTTCAAAAATAACTGCTAGTCAGAAGCTTGTACGTTAACTATTAGGCAGAAAATAGTCTTTCCTGGTATTAGGGGGCGCTCACAGGGAGTGCAAGCTAGAACAAGAGTTGCTTGACATGGGTGCAACAAAGATCCCGGAGTTTCCCAGCACGGTTGTTTTCCCATCTTATGGTCATCTAGCACTAGTGGTGCATGCGGATGATTTTGTATTGAGCGGTGATAGTTCTTATCATGACGGGTTCTGGAGAAAGCTTTCAAAGAGGATCATGTTAGACGATTTCGGGGATCTTCGACGGTTCCTAGAGCGACATCACTCTAGGATAAAATGCAAAGGCCAAGAATTCTTCGCTTTTGACATGAGGGCTTACGCAGGGAGCATCGTCAACGACTACAGCCGGGTCATGCTAAGCTCAAGAAGGTTCTCGCTCCTTTTCCTTCCAAGACCGTTGTGATCGAGGACACGCCAGCCAGAGGTCATCTCGCTGAGTCACCGAGCTCAATTCTCATGAAGCTCATGTGGCTGGCGAGGCTTGCTAGACCAGACATGTTGCAGGTGACGGCGTGGTTGGCTGATCTTCATCATTGAATTGTATTGTGATGCTGATTTCTGTGGGGATGATGATCATGCCTACTCTACGTCTGGCGGTTGGATTCAGTTGAGTGGCCAAGGCACTCATTTCCAATAGCATGGATGTCCAAGATCCACAACGGAAGCTGAAACAGCGGCAATGGCCACCACACTCTTTGATGATGGGGTACCACTGGTAGAATTGTTCTCTGATCTTTTCAGAGGTCGGTTGGACTGCTGAACCGTGAGGACAAGGAGGCAACTGCGAAGGTAGTGTCAGCAGGTTACTCAGAGCGACTGAGGCACATGAAGCGGACTCACTGCATCAACCTAGGCAGTCACAAGGAGGAGCTTGACAAGGAAGGCTGACATGTTCACCAAGGGGCTAGCTAGATCTCCGGGGCCCTGCATTAGACTCGTACAACCAACGCTGGGTTGAAGGTGCAGGAAAGTCTTGAGGAATCCCTGCGACCGGTTTACCCTGAGTCACAGCCGGTGCCAGCACCCACTGCGGGAAAAGCGAAGACCAAAGGCCACAGTGAAGAAACGATACAAGAGCAAGGCACCTCGTATCCTTCCGTATCAAAGAGCTCCTGATGACCAAGGTGATGTCACATGAACGAGGGCCGGTGTCATGGGAGAGGGGCAGTTGAAAATATTTGTATAACCCCTTTTCAGCACATGCATGGTCATATATGGTTGCCCCATGACGTGTGAAGTGTGCAATATGCCATGGCTTTTGCAACACGTCCAGCTAATAGGTCCCCAAAGACTGTTGGGGACCTTTCGCCAGCACAGGTTTGACTGTATAGTTCTCCATGTTGTCGTACTCTCTTTTTGCTAAGACTTGCTGACTTGCTGTCTCGAATGTGTTCAAGCAACCTGAAGCCTTAGCCCACCGCGCAACATGGCGGGGCTCTTGGGTGAGTGGCATTGGCTGTTGGCATTCGTGCCGTACGCACAGCCTGGTGATGCTCAACCTGGGCATGCCGATATGGAAGCCGCAGGCGCCATACAGGGACCTGGGATGTGCACCTTGCATATTAATTGATGTGTGAATTATTTTTATGCACATCTTTTCAATGTATGTATTTCCATAGGCACTTGCATACCCTGAGGGCTGGTGATGTACCACAACCCATGCATGCAGATTTTCAGGTTTCAGGTGTTTGGCAACTAGGAATTAGTCTTTCAATAGGTATTCGTCCTACCTATTCTCTCATCCTGAAATCGGGGGTGGTCATGAACCAATACTTGGCCAACAATGTTTGGCTCAAGGTGCCCGCAAAAGGTGTGTATTTTGTACATCTAATCCGCACCACTCACACAGCGAGTTTCAATCATATATTCCTGGGATTCCTGGTGCGTCATCTTGCGATCAATGAGTTTTTGCCAGATTTTTGTTTATGGTTGTCTGTTTGTTTTTCCGACCTTCGTGTTTCCGGCCCCTAAGGATTGGTTGTCGCGAAGAGTGGTGACTTGCGGTGAGCGAATGTCACTCTGGAGTCTTGGCCAATGCCCAATGTGGATAGACCGACTGGGGACGGAGGGTTTGTGAGAAAAAATGTTGAAAATTATAGTAAACCTACATCATTTCATTTGATGTTTTATCATCACTTTCCCATCAAAGGGCCAGTTTTGAAGTATGAAATGGTATGAACCATTCTCAGACAGACCATAGTTGTTTAGTAATCCATGTATAATTGCGGTTTATCCCGCGGACGAATATTAAACATTATCCACTTATTTACTGGGATGCACATCCGAATATGTTGTTTTTTGTTTGCCATCAATGTGTGTCTTGACCCATAGCCAGACTGGAAGTTCATCAGGTCGGTGGGAACTGCCAGACATGATGGGAATTTTTGCTTAGATGGGCCACGGGAGTAGTCAACTGGCTATAGTAGCTGGGATATACCTGGATATTTTTCATGGGTTATAAGCCGTTCAGCAACCCAGTTTCTAACCAGCCAACTCATCCCATGGCCCATCTAAGTATGGGAATCGATGCAAGGACTGTGGATGCCTTGTCCAAAGTTCGAGACTTTGACCTAGGCCGGGAAGGATCTAGGTTTGTGAAATGGAGACTGGGCCACCATGACGCGGCTATATCCCAACCTAGACCATTCAGCCACAAATTTTGAGTTGGTTGCTAAGTCACCATTCCATACAATATCATGTATAACTGTATAACCATCAATCTGGTTGATTTTTGGGATGTTGACCATAAAATCAAGCATCAAATGTCCAGCTATCACATCTCTGCATCAGTATATGACATCATTGGATCATCACCAACCAGTCACAACGGGGTGTTATGGGGACTCAACCAGCCCCCTCAAAGATGATCCCCAAAACACAACAGGTTTGATGGTTTAGTGACGATTTGTTGTGAAGTAGACATGGTGTTAAATGGAGAGTTACCCAGCAAAAAACCGAGTGATGTTAGCAAAGCAATAATTAAAAAACACCATGATTTTGATGGTTTATACCACCTGTTGCTTTGCCAAAATTAAAATATATTCCAACCTGGCAACGGGAACTGTACCATTTACCGATGATTTTCCCAGCTATACGCATCCACTTATATATAGTGTATTTTCCAATTGAAACCCGCGTTTTTAGATGTTTCTCCTATAAAAACACCATTTATAGTGGATTTTCCCATATTTTCCCATATTCTATGTGATTTTCCCATATTTATCGGGCATTCTCCACCTGAATTCAGGGCTGAATTCAGGTGCGGTTGGAGAAGTTTCCGCGGTCGCACTGCAGTGGCCGCGATGCGTTTCCGCCGGCAAAGGGCTCAAGCGACTCGGAGGTGTTCAGGAACCGGATTTTTTTAAAGGATGATATCATATCAATGGGAGTAAAAAACTGTAAAATGGATTTTAAAATCATCATTGAAGGTTGAATGAGGATTTTCCATGGGATTTTCATGGTGATTTCATGGGATTATCCCTGTGGTAAACTAACAGATTGCGAACTTGAACGCGGACCATTTAGTTCGTTGATTTAGCGAAAAAATGGGTGGATTTTCCATAGCAAAATGCTAGTTTACCAGCGTGTATCATGGGGTTTTTAACAGAACAACACCTACATTGGGATGTATATGGATGTTATTGGGATTTAATGGGATTTTTCATGGGGAATTGAATGTGATGTTTATTGGAATTTTCACAAACTTAAGAATGCATCCCAGATCGTAGGGTATTAGTTTGTAGGGGTTTGTCCGTTCATGATTTTCAGGAATTCCTACCTGATCTCAGAAATGCCTAGGTGATTTGAAAATGACATAGGCATTTCTGAAATTTAGGTAGGCTAATCTGAAATTTGGTAGACTAATTTGTTGTCCAGAACGTTGTGCAAACAAATGTGGTTTCATGTTTTTTTACAAAATATTAAAAAAAAGACAAAATATTTTCAAAAAGATAAAATCTAAAATATGGTAAAACGTTGATTGAACGTTTACCTGCGGTTGTGTTATTATTGTGAAGACCTCACCTGCGTGAATTGAATCATGTCATTGCTTCGATCATGTGTGTGACTTGTGTCAATTTTGTCAATTGAACCGGTCAATTCTGTCAAAAATTTAAATTTTAAAAAAATGTCAAAAATTTTTAAAAAATAAAATAAAAAATCACTAGGCAAGAAATCATGCCATGCCCAACATGCTTTGACCCAAGCATGCAGAAACACAAATCGACAATTGTCCAAGTGGGCAAAAGAATGAAGATGAGAAGCTGAACTCAATTAGTCAGTCAGTCAATTGTTTCAAGTGCCACAATCATAATCAGCTGAAGTCAATTGATCCAATTGCCACTTCTCGCCGAGCCTTGCAAGCAAGTTATTAAGAATTACTTTTGAAAACATTTAAAATGCAAACAGGACCAGCAACAAACAGTAGGCAGGCCTAGAGCGTCATCCAGACCTGATCCTGGGTCTTGCTTTGGGAATGCGAATGGGAAGTGATATTAATAAATGTCAAAGAAGTCAAGCATGCCTGCATTGAACTCTTGGTAGCGGAGCAAGCTTGGTAGCGGAGCAGAACAATTCCAACCTCAGTACACATATTTGAAGTATTTCAAAAAGCCAAAGGGCTAATGAGTCAATTAAATTGACTGAAGCACATGAGATGGCAACGCTGAACTTGCAGTGCTCTGTCACTGATTGCGCATTTTTTTGCTGGAGCAAATGCCATGTTGCCTCTTGACCCCACAGAGACGGTCAAAGTTGACAGAGGGACGCACCACTCAGGTGAGTCAGCACGAAAGAACCCTTGGGCTATAGTACTCTTGTCGCATTCAAGACACTGACTGACAGTTTGAATGGACAACACTGAGCAAATTGAGCGTTGTGAAGTTTTCACGAAGCTCGAATCTGCTCGTAGATTTGGGCGACAAGCGCCAAACTCTGGCGTGTAGTGCTCGCTTTCGATGAGCATCTCCTTATTGCCAGTGTAAGTGTGGCTTCCATCCCAGCTCTGGCCACTGGAAGCCAAATTGTCCAAGCCATCTGGCCTTGGCCTGGCGATGGCTGCAAATAGGGAGCCGGGCCCTGAAGACGGATGCCAGATCTGGAGAGGCTTGCTTGTTGGGCCAGCAAAGCTTCCCATGTAGGTCACTGTCTTCTTGAAGTCGAAGAACCACAAAACATTACGAAGGGATGGTAGTTTTGGAAGCACACTCCCTGTGGGTTGCTCCAACACCGGAATGCAATCCAAGAGGAAACTGAAGAACATCATCATTGCAGTTACTTCCTGTTGAAGGTTGCCCTGCTCCACCCATGGCCTGCTTCTATCCCCGTAGAATGAATTCTCCTCGTATCTCATGCTTTGAGAGATACAGAGCGGGACGAAGCTCGAGCATCTGGTAGCAAACCAGTGTAACGACTTTCGCCGAGAAGCCACTACCATGTCAAACCAAGTCCTCAGCCCCTTGGAACTCAACATGTCATGGTGGGGATGAAAAAGAATGTCCACAGAAGCTCCTTGGTGAAATCCTTGACGCAGCATCTCTCGACTGAGATGGGCTCGGCCAGCACAAAACTCAACAAATTCCAATTGATCCAATTCATTGAAATTGACCAAATTGAAAAGAAACCTTTCAGCAACCAGCACCATCATCTCCAAGCACGATGTTGCGCCGCGCAAAAAAGGATATGCTTCACACAAAAATGAAGGCCACACTTTCGAGGCCCTGCCGCCATTCTCTTGGTCAAAATCAAGAAAGTCTTGACATGTGGACTTGACATGATGCAGTCCTTCTGGCCAGTCGACACGCCTGCAGGGCAATTAACAAAATGGACTTCGAGGTTATTCATTGATCATCAAAGAATGATTCAATTTCAATTTCAATGCATGTTGTCTCAATTTTCCAAGAACAAAAACAGCATCAGCGCCTATTGAATTTGCTGAAGGCCAAGAAATCATAGAAATCTAACGAAGAAATCTGTTGGAGCTTGTCATCCAGCCATTTCTCTTGATCGTCATCTTCTGAAGCTGCACTTGGGCCTTGAAGGCTGGCACTGGCTGTCACAGTGGACAGCACCATCACCGGAAGAAACGCGAGGCCAGCTTGCTGGTCCATGATGAACAAATTGACACAAATGACCAAAATGGCCAAACCAACAAATGTGCTCATGGGCCAAAAAACCTGCGGTAAAAGAATTAATCCAGTCCACAATTTTGTTTGGTTTCTTCACTGACAAGAATACCAGTCCAAGGCTTCTGACCCTGCGTATAAAAGTAAAGGCTTCCTGAGTCCTTGGCCTGATGATGAATCTGGCAGCCTGCATTGGCATTGAAAGACCATCCCGGCACAAACTTCAAGCTTCAATACCACTGGCCACTACACAAATCAATCTGGTTCAAGTCAATTGAGTCAATTCGCACTGACACATGACAAGCAGGCCCCAACATTTGACAAAGCATTGAAAAATACCATCCAGGTGCAACCCTCAGGCTATAATACCACACAAATCAATCAATTGAGTCAATTCACAATAAACACAAGCAGACCCCAACATGTGACAGGATTATTTGATTCCTTTTTAAACAGAGCATCTTCTTGCGATTTTGCAAGTGCATCAGGTGAAGGACTTGCTTCAACCAGAGCGTCTTACCAAGGCCCTAAGGCGATGACTTTGTCATCCCAGCGCTCTTCTACTTTCTCCTGCTATTATAATTCCTAGGAGGTGGCAGCGCACTCATCTCATCCTTGAGGCCTTCAAAAACTTCATCTGGGACTTCTCCTGGAATTTGATCTCGGATTCCAGGCCCCAATTCCAACCCAGCCAAGACAAACTTTTCCCACATCCAAGTGTGCACTTCTTGAAGTGCGGTTTTCCAGTCACCTGTTGCTTTGAAACTTCTGGAATAATACATTTGTCTCTGGGTTGAATCCCACAGCTCATGTTGAACCGTTCTATTCTTGTCCATCTCGACTTGAAACCTGTGCGCATTCTTGTCAAGCCTCAACTTGAACCAACTGTTGGGCTCAATGCTTCTGAGGAGGGCAGGTGTTGAGTGCACTCGAGGCCCGGCATCTCTGCCAGGCACAGGCGCTGGCCGAGCTGGCTCAGCCGGTTGAGCCGGGGGTGCAAGTTCAGCAGCAGGAGCTGCTGCTTCAGCAAGTTCAGCAGCAGGAGCTGCTGCTTCAGCAAGTTCAGCAGGAGGAGCTCCTTCAGCAACTTCAGCAGGAGAAGCTCCTTCAGCAACTTCAGCAGCAGGAGCTGCTTCTTCGGCAAGTTCAGCAGGAGGAGCTGCTGCTTCAGCAAGTTCAGCAGGAGGAGCTCCTTCAGCAACTTCAGAACTTCAGGAGAAGCTCCTTCAGCAACTTCAGCAGCAGGAGCTGCTTCTTCGGCAAGTTCAGCAGGAGGAGCTGCTTCCTCAGCAAGTTCAGCTGCTGCTTCAGCACGTTCAGTTTCGTTTGCTTCACGTGGAGAAGGATTTGGCAGTGGGTCCTCCACATCTGAATTGACGCAATTGCCTGAATTGACAAAATTGACTTGAGCTTCTTCTTCCTCCAAATCCTCTTCGTCTTCCATCTTCACAGCATCGCTTGCTTCCTTGCCTGGTCGCTCGTCATCTTCTTCAGCTTCCCTCTTCCTTTTTCTTCCGCTACTGCTTGCAGCCCCTTTTCCTGAGCCTCGGCCACTTCTTCCTTTGCCTTTGCTTCTTCCCTTCACCTTCCCTTTGGCTTTGGATTTGCCTTTGCCTTTGGCAGCCTTCTTCTTGGCTTTTTCCTGGAAGTGGAAAAAACGTAGATGCAATAACATGCCTGTCTTGGAAAAAAAATGAAAAATTGAAATGCAGCTGGAACAAACTAGCCAGACCAGCAACATTAAACATTTTCATCCAAGTTGCTGCTTGCTCCTCCATTTTTTCGTTGGGCAATTTGCGCCACTTCAATTGCTTCTGAGTTTTCTCCTCCCTGTAGACATTCTCCTTGACAGAGCGAAACTCCTTCTGCTCATCCGCGTCCAAGTGGTCAAACACAGCTTTTACCAAAGCTGCTTGATCTGGATCAGATGATGACTTCTTTGTCGTCTTAGAGTCGCACTCCAAGACCAGCTCTGCAAAATCATCTCCGAAATGCAACGCCAGCTTCAAAAGGATGTCCTTCCTAGACTTCTCTTTGATTTCGGAGCCAAAAAGATGCCTCCCCATCAAGCAAAGATCTGTGAATGTCAGGCCATTGGAGCGCCGCAAGCAATTCTGCGCAAATGTTTCAGGAGGCCCAACCTGTTGCCAGTGGATGCCAAACTCATTGCTCCAGACTAGCTTTGTTTGAAAAGCTGGCATGTTCAGAGAGCATTGCAGCCATTGACAACTTGACGACGAATCCAAAACCCATCGCATCATGCGATAATCATCATCAGCAGCGTCCACAAGCTTCAACGGCCAAGCAAGGGCTTGCCACTTCAAATTGCCCAAAATGAGTAGATAGACAAAATTGACTTCAATCACTTGCCCTTGAAAAGCAAGGCGGTTCAGAAGACCATCCTGACGGGTAATTCAACTGACACAAAAACATTTGCTACACATCATTTTGGTCATTTTCGTCACTTCCCTGGCCTCCAGGCGAACACCTTGGTCAGCAAGCCTTTGCCCGCAGTATTGAATCATCCATTGCCATGCCCCGTATGAGGTTCGAAGCCAATCCTCACTGACAGTGCGCCACATCTTCTTCGTCAGAATCTCTGAGTAGCGAGCTGGTAGACTATGGCTGGATGATTTGAATTCCTGGCGGCAGTTGAAATCATCTCTGGCATCAGGCCACTTGTCCAAGAATTCTTCACGGGTTAGGGCAGCTGGATGGACGATCCCTCTCTTGTCCAAAACCTCAGAGAATTGGCAAACAAGCTGCAACGTAGCTCCAGAGAGCTTCTTGTTGCTGCCTGGGTTCGTGGCCACCCTGCATGCTTGGTGAATGTCCTCAACCACTTTTGAATCCGCAAAGCCACCAATCAGCAGCTTGGCCAGCTCTTGCGCTGCTCCAAAGTCAAAATGACACAAATGACACAAATGACACAAATGACGACAAGGCAAATCGAAGACCGTCTCAATGTCACTGGCAAGCTCTGCTGCAAAAGGAGCCATGCTGCACCGCAAGGATTGAAACCAACGATACTCCTTCAAGAGCCGCATTCTTGTCACCTGTGCTTGCTGGGGATCTAGAAGCCCAACCCATGTCTCAGGTGGAGCTGAGAACTTGGAAAGCGTTGCGCAACGATTCATCAAGCATCCAAGAGCATAGGTATTCACTCTGGCAATGAAGGCCTCCTGGTCAGGCACAAACCGCTCAACATCGGCCCAAGTTTGAGCGCTCCACGATTCAGCAAGGGTCTGGAGAGACTGATGACTCATCCATGACTCGACCATTTCCAAAGATTCAATGATTGCATGCTCTGGGCTTTTGACATCATGGATCTGCTGCGAGTACCACGACCACATTCCATATTGAACTCTGAAGATGATGTGGGCATCTTCCCAATACATCTGTGTCAAACAGCCTTTGAGGCCTACCAAACCAGACTGACCATCAGTGTCAAGATCTGTTGGGAAGTACCACGAGAGGAGCATGAGGGAGCTGTGCCATTCTTTCAAGTGGACAGCAGCTCGTTCGTTCCAGGAAAACCATCTGCTTGCCTTGGCAAGTCCGCCCTTGAGCCTCCACGATTCCAATTGCTCGGGAATGGAGTCCCAGATCTCCCTGTCGGAGCACCCTTCCATACCAAAATCATTGGCAATTCTCTCTTTCAATGCCTGAAACCATTGGCAGTCCTGAGCTGCTTCAAAACTTGATTTCAAATATGATTTGTTCCAGTAGCCTACATTCGCAAACAAACAAAATCAACAACCAACTTCAGCAAAAAAGTGAGATCCAAGCAAATGACCCAGGATCAAAGCTGTTGGATTCAAAGAATGCTTCCAAGATCTGAGTTTTTTCCGTAAACCATTGGCCACTTCCAAAAGGCTTGGTGTTGACGCTGAACAGATACGTTGTTGCCAAAACACAAGATTCCAAGCCAGCTGCTTTGATTGGGTTTTTCAGGTCTCTCAACAGGCGGTGAATCTTGTCGAAGGTGAAGTGGATTTGGAGGCCAGCTTGGGAAGTGACAAAGGCAGCAGCTGCGCAGCCAACTTTGCCTTGGTCCATGATGCAATGCAAACAAGGCAAATCAGACAATTGACGTAATTGACTTAATTGAAACTCCTCTCCATTCAGCACTGCGACATTGTCGTCAAAGAAGAAGTTATCGCCTGGTTGCAGCTCCAACATTTTGAGCAAGACTTCAGGAAATTTAAAATCATCCAAGCGAAGGTCAGTCAACTTGCATATCTGGGCCGAAAGGCCTTGCAAGAACTTCAAGCTGCTAAGCCGTTCAATTTCCCGTCTCGCTGCCAAGCGCTCTGCTTCTGGTGTCAGCTCCATCTCCTGTGGGTGTAACACTTTTGTTGACCTGACGTGAACTGAGCACATGTGAGCCCCTACTCCATTTACAGGGTCATAGGCCAGGCTCATCAGGTAGTCCTTGTTGCTATGAGTTGAGGCATCCGTGACAATGGCGAAGTTCTTCACATTGAAGAAACTTAGCCTTGATGACTGCCTGTACATTGACAACAATTTTCTCTGCCAAACCTACGTCAGTTGCTCACTGATTCCTCCTTGTGGGTCATCTTTTCGCAGAGCACAAATCTTTTGGTATGACACCCCAGTATCCTTGCTTTGCTCAATGACACGCCAGATCTCATGAGGACTCATCTTCCGCAGATTTGCATCGGAGTTCCTGTTTGGCAAGGTTCAAAACCTTTAATTTCCACACCTTCGAGAATTCACACAGGCACAAAACTATTTTACAGTAAACAAAAATGTAATGCATTTTGACTACCACCTAGCCTTCTCACGCGTCTGGATGGCACTGGCTGAGAATCGTCCTGCTGGGTCATCATCTCAAGCACCACATTGTTGACAACCCACGCCACAAACTTGAGAACGCATTGTTGCAGATTTCTCATGCTATCGGTGGAGAAAGGGGGAGGCTGTCGAAACGAATGGGCCGCCTTGTAGGAATGTATAAAATTGACACAAAACATGAGTAAATCCACCAAGGATGGCTCCTCATCATCGTTGCTGGAAATGTCTTCTGTCAGAAGTGGCCCATTGTCTTCCCTGGCCATCCACTTCCACAGTGTAAGCCATAATTGAACCACCTGTTTGTGAACATGTCTTCCGAGCCACAAACGAAAGCCTTGCAACTTCCCTGTAGGCAGAACATGCATAGGAAAGTCACCAACTGAAAACTTCAGCACATCATTGTGGCGACTTGCTTCCTGGGTGACCAGCATGCCAACATCTTTGAAATAGTTTCTCATAGTCAGCGCTTTGGCATCAGTTCTTGTTTTGTTGAGCAAGTCGAGCAAAAAGTGCAAGACAAGCAATGTGCTCACTGCATCAACGGCCAAGCACCCTCGCCTGCACAACAAATGCAGATGATTACTCTTGATTACATAATTGAAACAACCTCTTCAATGTCAAATCATGTCTAACATAGTTCGACCATGATTCATCAAGGACAATTTTGTTTTGGGCAAATTGGCTAGCCTTCTTTCCTTTTTCACATGCAAATCTTCCCTGGACAAGTGTTGCCCTTCACAGCATTGTTCCTGGAGCTCCTTTAACATCTTGTACTTCTGCTTCTTTTCGCCCAAAGCATGAAAGTTTGTCATAGACATAGGCAAAGTCCCACATGAAGCCAGCAGGTCCATTGTAGCCAACTTGGCCAAACTTCAGCAATGGGTGATCGCAAGCAAAGGGCTCCAAGTCTGTAGTCAGGGACTGAAAGTCGTCACGCCCTTCCTGACTGTCACTGCCGCCATCATCGAAGTCCATGAGACAATTCACACAATTGACTCCATTGAACTACCTGAAACTCAAATGATGTCTTACAGATTGGCCATGGTTTAGGTTTGTGATGTCTTACTGATTGTCCATGGTTTGGCACCATTGCTGCACTGCAATTCAAACATCATTTGTTCAAAGCCTGAAGATTGTTTGGTTTGATTGTCATGATTCTTGTTTGGTTGTCTTATGAATCATTATATATAGTTTTTTTTCAATTGAAGAAGTCAATTGATCCAAATCTGGCAGGCACATACCAACTCACCAATGTGCGAACAGCAATGAATGACTTCCGGCAGTCTTGACAGTTCAACTTCACCATCATCATTGCACAAGTGTAAAAAAATCAGAAAGTCAGTGAAGTTCCAGCCTTCTCACTCCACAACGAAGCCTGCAGAAAAGTAAGCTACAGAAACAACACAAGTAAAAAAAGGAGCTCCAGCACAAGCTTTTAACGATTCAATGAAAGCAGCTTGCAATAGCAATAGCATAACAATGCATTTTCCCCATCATCTCTTCCAATGGAGCTTCAGACCAACGCCTTTGCTGCTGGCAAACCACAATTGCAACTCACACACCTCAATTGATGGCAATTGACACAAATGAATTGCGTCAAAGCTAAAGTGGTCCGGCATTTAGCTGACTCCACTGCAGAGAGAATCCCCCCAAATGAGACAAACTTCAATAAAATTCGATGATGGCCAGCCAATGGTTCAAAAAAAAAAGAGATTATACTATAGACAACTCATAAACAACTCTGCTGCAACTTAAAGTTTCCTCACTGGCTTGACCAAGCCATCTGCCAACTAGATTGGGCCATTGGGCCAAGTTCAGCCATCCGATCATCTTGGGCCAAGTTCAGCCATCCGATCATCTGCCAGTCACTCACTCAGACTCACATGAAGTCCACAACCTCGAAGTCATCTGCTCCTCGAACAGCTCGATCACCAGCTGGGGGCGTGATCTGGCAACGGAGAGGGCAACGCTCTTCGAAGTTGGATGTTGCTGTGTACCAGCCCTCCATACAAGAAAGATGATATGTGTGGCCGCACCCAAGTGTCTTCATCGCGCCATTGGTCATCTCCTGCTGGCAAATCAGACAAATGGGTGGGCCATCTCCATCTGCAGCTGGCACAGTCACAGCTGCTGCCTCAGCAGCTGGGCTAGGCTCGACAGCCGGGTCCACAGCTGGGCTAGGCTCGACAGCCGGGTCCACAGCTGGGCTAGGCTCAGCTCCCCGGGCATCTCCATCTGGGCTAGGCTCAGCTGGTGGAGTGGCATCTCTCACAGCTGCCTCAGCAGCTGGGCGGTCTGGAGCTGGCGGAGCAGCTGCCTCAGCAGCTGGGCGGGCTGGAGCTGGCGGAGCAGCTTTGCTTGTTGTCACAGCAATTGGGGCAATTGACGCAATTGACGAATTGCGCGCAGGGGGGTGAGGCAACGCCGGCACAGGTGCTGCAGCCGGACGCCTGCCTGCAAAGAACTCAGCAACACTGGACGGAGGAGCCTTTGCACAAGAAACAGGCTTCAGGAACTCATCTTTCCATCCCTGAGCAACAGCCACATCATTGACCTCGGCATCCCCCAAGACCAACGGAAGCTCCTGGACGATGTTGTCAGGAAACCCTTCGCAGGAATCCTTGATCCTGTCATGGGCCCTCTTGAACCTGTTGCCAAGATCCTCATACGAGGTCACACCTGGGCGATTGATGGTGAGATGGGTACAATAACTTTTGACTGATGTTGAAGAATCCCTATCATTGTATATTTTACATTATTAATATATAAATGTATATAAACATTTCATTGTCATTGGATGACATTATCTGTGGCTGCAAAGGCACAACAACTCAACACAACATGGCCAAACAGGGACAATCTAATGAACTACACAAACAACAACTAAAGTATTAATAATCGTAATCTAAAACAACAACACTGATTGATTCTCACCAAATCACGAAGATTCGAAATCTTGAGAGATGGCTTTAACTTCGTGATGATCCAGAGAAGCTGAAGAAGACCTCGCTGGGTGAGGCCACTGGTGTAGCCGGCATCCAGGGCTGGCACCAACTTCTCAATGGCATAGGAAAGTCTTGTCATGGGAATGCCTGACAACCACAGGAAGCAGACCATATGACCATTCATGAAATGAACATTGCACAATTTTATCTTGCAAACATTTTACCATTTTCCCACTAGCATGGTAACTAAAACAAACATATGATCATCATATCAACATAAATTAAAAAACATAGGGTCATCATATCAACATAACATAGGATCATCATATCAACATAACTTAAATTGAATCAAACATAGGATCATCATATCAACATAACTTAAAACAAAAATAGGATCATCATATCAACATAACATAGGATCATCACATCAACATAACTTAAATTCAATCAAACATAGGATCATCATATCAACATAACTTAAAACAAAAATAGGATCATCATATCAACATAACATAGGATCATCATATCAACATAACTTAAAACAAACATAGGATCATCATATCAACATAACTTAAAACAAAAATAGGATCATCATATCAACATAACATAGGATCATCATATCAACAAAACTTAAAACAAACATAGGATCATCATATCAACATCGGTTACATACATGTCCCACCCCAGGCCTCTGATCATACTTGCAGACCTTGTGATGGCAGCATCATCACTCTTGTTGTAAGGGAGCACAGGCGGCGGCTGGTGCTCAGGCTGAGCAGGGACAGGCACAGCAGGAGCCACAGGCTGCGCAACCACAGAGGCCGAAGCAGCAGCAGGCTGAGGAGGAGGAGCATCTTGGACTGCACCAACATCATCATAATCATGGACTTCTTCCTCAGCATCTTCCCCAGCCGCAACATCTTCCATCATTCGACGCATGGCTGCTGGGTTCATCATTCCACCCATCATTCCATTCATGTGTCCCATCATTCCATTGCAGCCACCCATCAACATAGGCGCCATGCCACCTCCCATCATGGGATTCATCATTCCACCCATCATGGGATTCATCATCATGGGATTCATCATGTGTTCCATCATCTGGGGCAAAGTGCGCTGTCTCTTGGAAGCTCGGTTCACAGGGGCAGCTGGCATGATGATCCAATTGACTCAATTGTGTCAAATGTGATGGCTACAGTTGCTTGACTCACTCACAGGCTGCAGCATGATTTGCAACGTTATTGATTTAACTACATTAGTATCATGTATCCTGTTGATTCTATCACCTAATCATGATTTGCACACCATACAACGTTATTGATCTAACTACATTATTATCATGCATTGTGTTGATTCTATCACCTACTATGTCTCAATATGTCTCAAAATGTCTCAAAATGTCTCAAAATCATCTCAAAATTTCTCAAAATGGCATTTTGAGACATTTTGAGCATTTTTGAGCAATTTTGAGCCATTTTGAGCCATTTTGAGCAATTTTGAGCAATTTTGAGCAGATTTTTTGGGCAGGTATAAGTACTTTTTAAGCAATTTTGAGCAATTTTGAGCAGATTTTTTTGGGCAGATATAAGTACTGTTGAGCACTTTTGAGCAATTTTGAGCACTTTTTGAGCAATTTTGAGCAATTTTGAGCAATTTTGAGCCATTTTGAGCCATTTTGAGCCATTTTGAGCAATTTTGAGCAATTTTGAGCAATTTTGATCAATTTTGAGCAATTTTGAGCAATTTTGAGCGGATTTTGTGGGCAGGTATTTTGAACAATTTTGAGAAGATTTTTGTGGGCAGGTATAAGTGATTTTAAACAATTTTGAGCAATTTTGAACAATTTTGAGCATTTTTGAGCAATTTTTTTTGGGCAAATATAAGTATTTTTAAATAAGTTTGAGCAATTTTGAGCATTTTTGAGCAAATTTTTGTGGGCAGGTATAAGTACTTTTAAACAATTTTGAGTAATTTTGAACAATTTTTTGAGCATTTTTGAGCATTTTTTTTTGGGCAGATATAAGTACTTTTAAATAAGTTTGAGCAATTTTGAGCAATTTTGAGCAGATTTTTGTGGGCAGGTATAAGTATTGTTTAAACAATTTTGATCAATTTTGAGAAATTGATACAAGTATTCATAGTTTTGAATATTCACCTCCATGCACTTGACATTAGGTTTTCATATCTAAATTTAAATTATGAAAGTATATTGTGTAAGTATATTGGTGAATATTGAATCCAACGCAAACAGCTGAAGCAACTCAATTGATTGACAATGACCAATTGAAACAATTGACACAATTGACTCAATCATGTACTGCAAAAATGTTTAAATGACATAATCTGGCTATGAAGCCACTCTTAATTGGCAATGCATCCATTGAAACGGTTTGGCAGTGAAGTTTGACTTATCTAGTGGATATGAAAATTAATCTCAATAGAGCCATCTTAGATATGACTGTGCACTGTTGATTCATCTAGTGGATATGCAGATGAATATCAATAGAGTCATCTAAGATTTGACTTTGCACTATTGATTCATCTAGTGGATTTGAAAATGAATATCAAAAGAGTCATCTAAGATATGACTATGCACAGTTGGTTCATCTAGTTAGTAGATATGAAAATGAATCTCAACAGGACTATGCACTTTTGATTTACCTAGTAAATATGAAGTTGAATCTCAATAGATTCATCTAAGATATGAGTATGCATGCACGTTTGGCTCATCTAGTGGATATGAAAATGAATCTCAACAGAGTCATCTAAGATATGAATATGCACTGTTGATTCATCTAGTAGGTATGTATGAATATGAATCTCAATAAACTCATCTAAGATATGCTTTTGATTTATCTAGTACGTTTGAATATAAATGAATCTCAATGCAACTGGCTGTGAATCAAAGTGAATCAAAGTGAATCAAAGTGAATCAACTGTTTTCACTGACAAGAAGCAATTGACACAATTGAATCAATTGATGCAACATGACAATGGAAAACAAATTGACTGACTCCCAGAAACCAGGCCTGCTTGTCCAAGAGCACCCCCAAGACCAATCGATCCATCTGCCTCACATGAAGATGGTGCATTTTAAGCCATCAATGACACCGTTTCTAGTTGGCTACCTTTCAATTGACACAATTGAATCAAGTGAGATATGTGGCTATGAAGAAACCATTGCTAAAACAAAGTCCATGCCTTCTCATCCAAGTAGTGAACTGAGCAACCTCAAACATGTCACATGTTCCACACTGTATCAACTGAAACAATTTGTCACTGAAGATGCTTGAGACAAACACTCAAAGAATCATTGACATCACAAGTGCTGCAAGCGATGACATGACTCACCCATCATTGACATAACTTGCCATTGACAAATTGACCCAATTGACAACAAATTGACCCAATTGACAAATTGACCCAATTGCACAACTTGCAAACAAGTCATCTGGAAGATATGCTAACTGAGCCCATCCCACCACCCTTTATCAATGCTTTGCCTGACAAACATCTAAACAACAAGTGTAACATGAAGCAACGGCTGCCATGAAAGTGGTTCACTGCTTCTGCAACATGATCACCTTGCGCTGGGACTAGCGTTCACCCTTTTTTGTTTCTTCAAATGCCATTGTTTGCAAACTGTCATTGCAAGAAAGCATGGGCAAAAAGCATGGAAACACGAAAGCATGGGTGCAAAGACTGAACATGAAACCAAACCTTGATTCATATGTCTTAAACACCATTCACTTTTTTTTCGACAAGAACAAGCACTCATTGTTCAACCTAATTGATGCCCATGCTTTAAGACTGCATTTGTCAATGATGAATTGACACAAATGACACAAATGACACAAATGACTGCAATTTCAGTTGAGCTCAGTTGGCCCACAAATTGAAAAAATCCATGCTCAGCGCCAGGGCCACCAATGTGATGACGATGATGCATCAACCTCTTCTTGACCTGGAGTACAAGCACTTCAACCTTGACAACTTTGAAAATGTTTTTTTGAGTATCAATCATGTTTTTTGAAAATGTTGCTTCAAAGCATGAGTGCTCAGCCATGACATGTGAAGCCAAGTTGCCAATTGCCCTGCGCAACCAGTCATTCGACTCTGCCTTGTCCCCCCAGCGGAGCAGCATGTTGAACCTTGGTATTTGTTTCGAAAACATACAAACCAAAAAGCTGAAACACTCAGACCTGTTGACCAAACTGTGAGCAAGGAAAAGATATCAGATCTTCAAGTTCAACACCCAGACCAGACACATTAGTTTGATCTTGTGGCTCCAGGAGATCTTGGCAGCGGCCATCATAGCTCTGATGCTAGGCTGGATGTGGTAGTCGGTCAAGATCTCGTCCCTTGGCCAAACAATAATGATAATGAGTTTGACACAGGCATTGGTGGCATGACAGCAAATCACTCCTTCTCAACAGCTGGATCACTGAACTGCAGCCATGGCACAACACCTCGTCCCATCCATCACCCCCGTCAACATCAGTTTCAAGAAGGCCCTGCAAGAAAGAGATCTGCTGCTGAATCATTTCCCGCATGAAGGGATCACTGAGCTTGGCCTGTCAGCGACAAAGGAAAGAACATGATTGAATGACAATGCCAAAACCCTTACTCAACTGAAACCATGCAACCATGTCATTTACTATGGCCATGACAATGTTTTATCAATTGAATCAATTGCAGCACTAATAGCACCTGGCCTTCTTCTGTGCTGGGGTCATGGCTTGGAGCTCATCCACAAGCCCTGGCGGCATACCGATCTGTTCCTCCTTGACAGGGGCTGGCTCTGCCACCTTTGGGGCTGGCTCAGGTGCGCTGGGGGATGGCTCCTTCTTCACACTTGAGGCTGAGGCTGAGGCTGGCTCTGCCACCTTTGGGGCTGGCTCAGGTGCGCTGGGGGATGGCTCCTTCTTCACACTTGAGGCTGAGGCTGAGGCTGGCTCTGCCTTTGGGGCGGTGGCTGGCTTTGATGCCGCCTTTGGCGGGCTTGGGGCTGGGCGGGTTGGCTTGGGAGGAGGTCTTGAGCCTGACGCTGTGGCTATCGGGCCAATGTCCCGAGGCGCCCCTTTCAGGGGAGGCCCCGCGGGGGGGGTTGGATTCACCGACTTTCCTCGAAAGCTAATCCCCAAGTCAGGGTACACTTCTCTCCACAGGTTTCGAGCCCTTTCCAAGGCATTGTTGAAGTCCTCATCGGTCCAAGCCTTCCCGGTGAGGTCATCATACATGTTTTGCGAAAGGGTTCGCATAGTCCTGAGCAACACTTGCAACATGAAAGATTACTTCAATTGAATCAATTGAGGCAATTCAATCTTCACTGGGGACAAATGTTGATCAGGGTAAGGCAAGTAAGCAATTAATCAATTTTGAAAACATTGACATGAAAGCAAAAATATTCAAACCCTGAACCCAACATCGGTGAGGCATCCTTGAAATTCTTGCCAAGACACACATTTCGTGACCCTTGAAGAAAAGCGATGACATTGCTGGAATCCACCGCAGGGGCCATCGACAAGCGGGCGGAGTACAGGACCACCTCGACGCCTGCCATCTGCAAGATCTTGATGATCAAACCAGCCGTTCCCAAGGTTCTGTGCCAGCCCCATGAACACGTCAGCCTCAGCAAAACAAGTCTGAAGAAGCTAAAATCAAATGTGCAAAGGTTGAAGCTTTGACTGGGTGAAATTGTTTTTCTGTCTTTCACATTAGAATTGTGAGTTGCTCCAAGGCATTCAAATGACACAAGTGCAAACATCACATGACAAGTACACTGCAATCATAGGCCAAGACTAGCCAAATGCAGACAAGAAACCGAACGATCATCCCTGGTCGTGACAAAATGTCGAGGATCACCTCTTTGAACCCTCTGTGGCGGATGACCTGAATGAGCCAAGCGCTACAAGAACTACATGAAGCAACATCAAAGGCACATGAAACAAGAAGGCAAAACAACTGGCTCAGTTGACAGCACTAACAATTGAGTCAATTGACAATACTGAGTTCAAACATGTGATCAGTTTCACTACCAACTGACAACCTGTCTTAGTGTCGAGTCCAAAGACGTTGATGCCAAGCCACTTCCTCCTGCACCTCCGGGTGCAGTCCGCTCATCTTCTGCTTCGAACCCTCAGGCTCTTCAAAGGACCTTAGCATCCCAATAACAAACCACCAATGATGATATCATCATGAATGCATTCAAAGGAAATCAAAGGAAATCCTTGTGATCTGAATGCATCAAAGGCACTGCCTAGACAGTTTGATAGGAAGCCGGTGCTCCCACACTTCCTTCATTGGGTCCCGCAAGTGACCACACATCTTTTCGATGATCCAGACCACCTCCTTCGGGGGTTCCTGCAATCAAAAGGCACAAAGAATAAGAAACTTGATCACACACCAAACCCAGCGGCAGAAAACTAAACATCATAATGTCAGTTTCCATCAATGATCATGACACAAGGCCCTGTCCTGCCACCCCTTTCTCGCATTGCCCGATCCATACCCCAGGATCGCGACGCGCTTTGGCCAGTTGAAGGTTTGGTGATTCCACAAGTGAATTGGCACCTGACATCAGACACTACATCCAAAGCAGACCCAATCACACATTTGATCCAAACTTGATTCAAGTGCCAGCCCTTCAACACTTCAGATTCACATAATTGACACAATTCACACAATTGATCCAAACCAGCCAATGTGATTGGGCAACATGTCTTCTTAAAGCCAAGAAACTGTGGTCTGGTCACCTTTTCTTGGTGACATTGTCGTACTTGATGCCATTGTTCGCGTGGTACCTTGGTAATGAACCAGCTTCAAGCCAGCATTGGCAACATCCAAGCAAAACATCCTGCAGTGCAAGTAAGTTACTCCCTGATCTTTTCCCGCGATGACGACAGAACGTACTTCAGGATGCAGCCCGGTGGTTTCTTCTTGATGTGGTCCCTGAAAACAAACAACCAAGTGAACTCAATTGACCCACACTTTCACTGAAGACAATTGACCCAATTGAACTGAACCTTGCGCAACTCACGACAAACATCTTCAATGAATCAAACATAAATAGCAGCCCGAATCAGCAAACTTCATAAATTCGATTTTCGTTTTTTTGATCCAAGGGGCACTAGATCCTGGGCGTTACTCGGGCACTCAAGGTACAGGAGATAGATCGCCTCAAGCGAGCAACTTGCTAATGTCTTACTCCCAGATTCTGGTAAACACACTCACATCAGGATTTATCTCAAAATTGAAAGTAAGACATGATAAATGATCAAAATGCTCAATTGCATGTTCACCAGTGCGATCAAGCGGCCTGCTGAGCTTTTCTTGGCCACGTGTTAACAGTCGAGCGCCACTCAGATGGCAAGTATTGCACGGCAATGCTGGGTGCAGACATCAACAATGTCAAACAAATAAACGAACTTTAAACTGAAGACTTGCATTCTTGGTGCTCATTGGGTTGGCCTTTGAATATCATGTTTTCCTGCATGAGGCATGACTTGTTCTTAAATCCGTTTGGGTACAAATGCGGCAATTGACGCAATTGATGCAATTGAATCGAGGCACCAAAGCTTTGAGCCAACTTTGCTTCGTGAAGACTGCCATATTGTCATATGTCAGATTTACAACCACAAAACCCATTGACAAAGCAATTCGATGAACTGACTTGAAAGAATGAATGAATAATGACCGGCACGTAAACAACACAGGCCTCGCCTCGGCCTGCCGCTAATGTCGCAAAGGCCTGCAAAAAGTAAGTAGTGCATGCCTTGAATGACACACTTCCTCTTGGAATTTACTGACTTGACTTCCCTGGAGCCAATTGACTTCAAATGACACAATTGATGACTTTGACTTCACAGACAAAGTAGTTCAAAAGGAAACGAAGCAGCGCCTGCACGTTACCGCCAGCCACCTTGAGACACAAGACAAGAACATGCAATCACATATCATTTGATGCCATGAACAAAGCTTGAATTGTAAAAAAACAGTGTCCCATGTCAATCAAATAAAGTCTGGAATCTCTGATCACGATCAATATGACAGAAACCTCAGCGCTAGCTTGGACACTTGCAGATCAGATTGATTAGGGAATCCTTTTGCAGTTTTCACACAAATCAACACACATCAACACAAATCAATACCGCTGACAATCTGTACATTGGCGCAGTCATGAGTCAGTAGTAGACTAAAATGAACCAATTGACTCAATTGACCAAATCACTTTTCAAGATGAAAATGACTTTGCCAAAAGTACTTGTCAAAGAAATCCTGGGGCCCCCAAGTTGAAGCGAAGGCTGCACCTGGCCACTTGGATGTAGCACACTAGAGGCAGAAGTCACAATTGACAACTGATGAACGTTGAACATGTCAACAAAGATACATCTCGAAGTTCAGCCTTGACATGTTTTCCACTGAACGCTCATGCTTCGCAGACAGTGCTCTTAAAGCAGTCTCAGTTTAAATGGAAAGGCAATTGAGCTGCAATTGCGCTGAAATTGACATACCTTCCATGTTTTTTTTTTTATCACGATGGTTCCTCAATTCCGCTTTGAGAGCATCAAACACTATTGCTTCATTTGTGGTTTCTGTTATTTTGAATTGAACCAAGAGGAACCATACAAACCCACTTCTGGAAGTTCGACAGCCAGCTCATTGCAATTCGATTCCGTGAGGACCCAAGCACTTTCAATGGCTTTCTTCTTCCTTGGCATGGGTGCAAAGGAACTTATTCAATTGATGGGTTCGGTCAGGGAGAATTGAGGAAGCAGGGGACACCACAGGCATTCCAAACAATGACATCCCAAGTGAAATGAACTGCAGCAATCTGAATTCACTTTATTAGGGATTGACAATGCCGAGACTCACTTCAAAAGACAACCCACTCGCCATCCTCTGTGCCATCATGGTCCTCCAACGCCAGCACTGCATGTGACCCAATTGACGGTTGCCATGACGCAATGGACACCGCATCCACATCTTCCAATTCGGCTTCAGCAGCCAACGGCTCAAGGACCTGTTCAGCAAGTCCAATGGTCCAAAATGAGCCAACTGACTAAGCACTACCAGTTGCTAACCTACTCGGTTCATGGCCTGACCGTGCCTGGTTGCTTGAATATGCAAACAATGAAATTCAATCTCGCAATGTCCAATGTCCAAGCCTCGATGTGGAATTGGCCGATGTACCACAGTCGTCTGCGGACCAAGTGCCCACACGGCGATACCTGATCGCACAGGAACTCATTGTCCGCGATCAAAGTGAACACGGTATCCTTTCGGCAATTCTGCGGCGCAGCTTCACCTCGACAGTTCCAGTCCCAAATGCGAAGGGAACCATCCTCATCCGACCAGCTCCACTTGCCATGCAATCCGCTCCAGCGCAAAGCTTGGCTGCGTGTTCTGCCTGAAATCAACAGCAAAGCAAGCTGAAAATGCTTGAAAACCTCAAAGCCAATGGTAATAAGCCAATGCTCAAAACACATGAAGCAATTGAAACAATTGACATCAATTCAAAGCACACTCAAGACAAATATGCTTGATTAAGCAAACCTAGTTCAAAACCAAGACACTCCGGAAGTTGCACTGCATAGTGTCCTTGCAGAGGGTCATCCACTCCGAGCGACGTCCGCTCCCAGCATGGTAGTAGTAGAACACATAGGCCACATGTTTCTGCTGCGGCTGTGCCACCACCAATGGCAATGGGTACTGGGACTCCTCGTTGCCTGGCTTCTTCTTGTCGTCGTAGTCCTTGTTGTCACCGGGCGCATAGCTACGAGGAATCTTGTTTGCCATGGCTTCGATCAATTGAAAGCAATTGAAGCAATTGACACAATTGACAATTGGCAAGGCAATATCGCTGGCTGGAATTTAAGAAAGTAGATGAATTTGATTTTGTTCAATTAAGTCGATGATTTTGATTTCATTCAATGAAGTAGATGACTTTGATTTTATAGTTTTTTACTTGATTTCTAGATTAGATGTCTGGCTAAATTGTCCAACTTCAATGCTTGAGTTCCTCTACCTAGTGTAATTGCATTTTGAAGTTTCCATTGTGCTTGAGCTGGCTGCTTCACATACAACTCAATCACTCAAACCCAAAAGAGACATCAATACTTGACGACACAATTGAGAGAATCCTGCAATAGCACTGCATGATGAACCAAATGAAATCAATCAGCTTTCCAGTTGAACAGGCGATGCCACAACAGACACTGGCTCACTGTTAGAGGCTTCAACATGTTATGTTGAAAAGAATTAAGACTGGAGCAGAACCGGGCCTTTCAAAGACATCTGCAGGCTCGAAACTTGGTTCAGGCCTCACATTGAAGAATACAATGACATGACTGCAACACTTCTTGTTAGTTTCAATTTCAAGTCTGAACTCAATTGATTCAATTGACGCAATGTAATTGCATGGAAGAAAGCAAGTCAAGTCAAATCATTGGTTCTGAGTACTGAGAGAATGACAAGCGCCCAGATCCTGCCACAGTTAAACAGTTCAATCAATAAGTTGATCATCGTTTTTCCACATGTGACTGAACGATTCAATCATGTCGGCCATGTATGATGATGTTGAGACAATTGAAGCCATCATCAGAATCACTGACCACCCCTTGGTTTCTGCTCATCACTTCAGATGCTACTGAGTGTGTCAGTTGAGTCAGTCTCTTGCTGTCTGTGTCTACTGGCTATCTGGCAGGAGCGATTGTGGCTCTTGCACAACTGGCTCTTCATTGTCATCCGCCACAGTGGGCAAATGAAATTGGATCAAACGCTTACAGAAGAAGCCGCCGAACTCCACAGCGATTTCGCCTGCAGGTTTTCCAATTTCAGTCGAGTGAGTTGACTCCAGCTGGCTCAGCTCAATGATTCATGTCATGTGTGAACATTTGAAATTCAAAGGATTCCAACATTCACTTGACTCAATTGAGGTAGGCGCCCTTGTGGAAGACAATCAGGTTCGGCGCATTCTTGGGCATACTGGGCACCACCAGCCACAGGTCGTTGTCAATTTGCACATGGCAAGACCAGCAATTCGCCTGCAGCATGGCTGATGGTTCACAACAATTTTTGGCATCGCAACGCACCTGGCAAAACCGATTGACTACTGAGTACTGAAAACCACATGGACTGAAGCAACATTATGATCCCACCTCAATGTCATCGTTGTTGAGCTCGTCCAACAACTTCTGCTGATTGGCCTTCAAACGCAATTCAGGTTTCTCAACCAGTAACTTGGCCATCCTGTCCCTCAGGAAGTCATGCAGCATCTCTTTCGCTTTCCTCACAGGCTGTAGTTTTGTAAATGATCGATCACTGAAGCCAACCATCAGCTTACTTTGACATCACTAAGAATCACTGGCAAGAATCACAAGAGATGGGTGCTTCAGGCATTGATCTGCATCAACTTTGCGCCCTCCATCCATCCTCGGTTCGCTGACAATGCGAAAGCGCGCAACACCACATGTCTCAGAAGGTCCTTATGTACCAGGTTGCCTTATTTTATTTGAACCAAGGCTCTCCCTGTACTTTGGCCATTTCACCCGACGATCCTGCTCATGAGATGCAGTGACCAGCAGCCGTAATAATAATTCAGACCCCACAAGCCAAACTTTATCTATATTGTATAATGGACACACAACTCAGAACACACTCCAATCAATCAAACCTGCCTCTTGAATGATACTGGGGGCCAGGACCATAATCGGAAGGGAGCCATCAGCAACAGGAACCGACATCATGGCAAACAAGTGACACAATTGACAGCTTATGACAAAATTCAGCTGATCCACCAATTGACCCAAATGAATGATGCAGTAAATCCTGCAAATTTTGAGCCAACATTGCCACCACCCACACATGGCCCCGGTTCAAGAATTGAACAATTGCAGCTTGGACTTGAGTCCACTGAATTGATTCACAATAATGAACTCACCAGCTCCTTGTCATTGATGAAGTTGACGCGCTGCAGCCCCTCCTTGAAACATCCAAACAAAACATTGACCTGCAAACATCCAAATGACGCAAATGACACAATTGACGCAAATTATTTGTCAACGAGACATGTTTGCAAACTAAGGCCCGAGCAGGTGAATGACAATGTAGTAACATCTCAAGCAATGACTCAATTCAGAGAATCTCAATCTGAAACCACTTCACACCACAAGAACTCAACATCAGAAATTGAAGAAACACAACAGATGCAATTGACACAATTGACTGACTGACTAATTGAGGGGAAGATGTTGGCATGTTTTTGTGAGATATCACATCGGCAACAGGAAATATGCATTGCCATGTGACCTGGGGATGCATCCTGACGTGATGTGTGTAACACACATCCTGGGCATATGCAAACACAGGTACTAGACATGCCAAATAAATAGTAATGTTGGCAATGTAGTAAACTTGATGATTGAAGTTCCATCACCAAGCTCTGCTCTCATTGCCAATAATAAGACACAATTGACTCAATTGACAACCATGCCACATCCATCAAGGATACTAATTCATACTCTCATTTAAAACTTTTCAATCTAATATAAATCATGGTTTTTTAACTTTTCATTTTTTCACTTTTTCACGTTATAAATCGTTGTAAGACACGGGGGTGTTATGACATGTTAGCACGTGACACTTTTTGCTCAAAAAGTACTTTTTGAGATGCCCAAAAATCCCTACAAATTAATCTCCCCACAAGCTGGTCGCCATTCCGAAGTTTGTGAAATTTATATGATTTAACCAACAACAATGGGAATACCATGGGAATTTCAATGGTGATTCAGTGGGATTTAGCCTCTGGTAAAATTGACCTATGGAAAATCCACAATTCTCAATAGGTAATTTGATCATCTATAAACGGGCCATGTTCCATAGTTATGTTAGTTTCCTGGAGGGTATCATGGTGATATTTTTTGGAACATATCACCAACAAGATTGGACGTGGGATATAGGACGAAATGGGATATGGTTATCCCGATGGGTTTGGGGATATAATCGCATATATGTTATAACCATGGAAACTCATGGAATTATGAAATCTGACCCACAAAAATTGGCTGGAAAGTGTAAAGCACAATGGTCATCAGGACATGTTCTGGATAATGGGAATTAACACCAAAATGGGAATGTCAATAGTAAGAAAACACATAAAGTGGGCATATGATGGAATAGAATTGGAAAGAATGGTATATAGTTACCCCCATACAGGGTGATATCGTGGAGATGTACCCAACCATATGTGTTTTTTTGTGTCCTGATGGATTTGCCTTCAGAAAAACAAGAATTTCAATTCGGTTTCAACCAGGGTGTGAACCCGTGGTGAACGTCTGGAAATAGAGACATGGTGGTTGTCCACCCATGAATTTGCTATGGAAAACGACGCATTTAAAGATGTTTTATGATGTTTTACTTGTTAAACATGATGATTTTCAATAGTTATATCAAACTACAAGAGGGTAGGTCAGAATCCGGATACTTGAAATGACTATGAACCCGTTCCCTCTTTATTTCATCTATCCCATTCAGCTACTCCGTCAGGTATACACTCCACTGATGGATTAAACCAAATTGAAACTCACCACAAATGATCACAAATGATGCGGCAATACGATGTTTGGGTAATTAATGCCTTGATTCAAGGTTGAGTACATATTTTTTTGCAGCAATACATCAGAGTTTTTTGCTGAAACCATAAATGATCTGAATGGTGGTTATGGTCAATTATAGTGAATGGTGTCCCTGAGGTCTTGTAATGTAGAGATTATAGCGTGAAACATACGTAATTGATCAGCGAATATCTTGGTAAGCATTGGATGCTAGTGAATCTTCAACGGATCAACATTTGACTTCGGGATGTAGCCACCCAAGCTGGAGATATTTAGCTTATTTTAGCCTATTCAGCCCAAATTGGGTATAACCAGTGATGGGATTGGGATACATGCCCATTTGAGGGTTTCAAAACATCACCGGAATTGACGGAAACCATCTCCACCGTGGTAAAAATCACAAGGTGTTTGATGCATCCCCGTTACGACATGTGTTCCCAGGGGTAAGAACGAGACTATCATCCAGTTGTGGGATATACCCCAGCAATACATAGGTTCTTAAGTTAAGTAATACTGTGCTTGCACCCCGAAGTACGATGGTGCTATATATTATGTGTATAATATATAATTATATGTATATATATCTAAATACATATGTGTATAAATATATATATATGCATTTTATTGTATTTCTAGGTTAGGTTTTCGTGGTACCGCAAACAATTCAACGGATAGTTGGCTTACCTGAAAAAGCTGGTACGGAGACAGATTTGGATTCATATACCATACATGGATCCTATGGGCTATGAACGATTCTTTCTGGTGATTTCTTCGTCGCATTTCCGACGTCGTCGCCTGAGACTCTGGACCTTTCCGAGCGAAAGCTGCGAGTCCTTCCGCAGCCGCATCGAGGTGGATGGATCCGGGCAGAACCACGGCATTTTTCGTCCATGGAAGCCGTGGAAATATTGGTTCACCATAAAAATGGAGGGTTATGAACTAATAAACATAGTATAACATATAAGTTATAATCACCAACAAACCCATCGTTTTCTATAGTTACAATATGTTATAATCACCAATAAACCCATCGTTTTACGGAGGTCCCCTAAGTTTTATGGAGATCCCCAGTCGTCACCATGGTCTTTTTCAGTCACTAAGTCATGCTCATCCATGACGACTGGATGAGAACTGGGGGTATCTCTATGACTTCAGAAACCTCCATAAAACCAGAGTTGTTGGAGGTGGTGCCGTGCAGCTATAAGTTGGTTTATAACCCCCTTTAACTATATGGACTATATGTATATCATTATATTTATATCATTATATATACATATATATATATACATACATAATATACATACATAATATACATACATTATATATATATACACATATGTATATTCCCTACAAACCCTAGTAATTGGACTTACAAACCAACTCAGCTAACTATTGGCCCCACCAGGCGTTATATCCCAACTCGTGGAGGTTCTTTACCATAGTTGTACCATTTTTTGCACCCCAACTGCCCATGGTGGATGTATTTGGATATCTTGGGATGGTGAGCCATAAAAGAAAGCCTTGTTGGAAGTTACATCAATGGGAGATCTCCAGGATCCTAAATTGGAGGTACGTTAGTACCATATTTCTGGCCATATGAATTGTGGGGATATTCCCTGAAATTTAGGCCTGAAAAATAGGCCTTATATATGGTAGGTACCTCCAATTTAGGATCCTGGAATGGCCATTGATTATACTACCTGGTCATTGGGGATTTATGAGCTAACCCATATTAGGGAAAGCGTTTTCAATCAAGAAAAATAGGGGATGGGATAGGGGATGATAGGGGTATATTTGATGGCTCAACTCAAATAAACAGATGGGATTATACTACCCTAATATCATAGAATGGCCCATAGAAATAGATGGTTTATAATGGTTAATATATTGGTTGGTGATAATACCATCTGGTTACTTAACATAGCCATGGAAAGATCCACCCATTTTTGATAGGCAAACCATCTATTTCTATGGGCCATTTTCCCATGGCTATGTTAAATAATCAGAGTGTAAATTTGTTGGGGAATAGTACTAGGCTTGAATTTCCAGGATTCTTGAACCTCACCATGAACAGATTTTGTTTCCATGTGAGGAAACACCTCCATTTTGGCTGGCTCTACCATGATATTGGATGGTTATTTAGCCGCATGTTGCAGCTTCAACCATCATTTCTGATGGTTAAACCTCATCTTCACGTCCTCAACCCACATTTTCTTCTAGTGAATCCCTAATTTTTGAGGCCGAAACTCAATTGTCACTGCTTAAACCATTATGTTTGATGGCTTAAACCCAGTAAAACCATCATTTTCCTCTGATGAAATCAGCAGGCACTGGTGCTGTGCCTGGCCGCTAGCTGGGCGGAGGAGCGCCTGGTGTCGGGCGCAGCAGATGGCACGCTGCGGCTCTTCAGCCTGGCCACCAGGTCTGAGATGGAGAAATGGATGGGATGATCATGGGTTTATAGTGGGATTATAGTTGGTTTATAGTAGGATTGATACGGTATGGGATTTATAGTATGGGATTATAGTAGGATTTGTGGGAATGTTCTATCATTAAGCCTAGATCATGGTTTATAGTGAGATTAATATACGTAGTAGGTTTTATAGTATGATTCATGTACTATTAATGGGAATATCATAGATCATGGAGTATCAACAATATGG